CTCCCCCCCCCCCCAACATGCTAAGCGAGTGTTACACTGCAGCAATACACGAATTCCAGAAACGGCCTTGAAACCTGTGACATAAGCCTTACCAAGTATAGACATCAGACCACCGGGAGTCGCACAGACCTTTGGACAGTGCCTCGTTGTGCTATTTGTAAAACAAAAAGAAATGTTGGCAGCCTCCCGTACCTGCATGTTTTTTTGATTAGGGACAATGCGCGACGTTCCTAGGCCTTCACGTTACAAAATTATGCTGGGCGTGTCTGAATCAGAATGTGGCAAATTGCGATATAACACGACACAGCGACTATAACCTTGTTGGCGCCAAGGGCTGTGTCCCTGCATTAGTAGCATCGGTAATTTAGAAATCGAGGGTCTAAATGATTCCCAAGGTTCCCGACCCATCTTAGCCGCCCACTTTGGCAATAGAACTCATATCCCCGTCTTTCAAGAGTCCGAAGTCCTACATTTTCACCCCCAAAAAAAAAAAAAAAAGAGGGGAACGGCAAAGCCCGGCACCTTTTATCCCTATTTTTCTCTTTTCTCTTCACCCACATGTCGGCTAAATTATAAGGGGTTTTTTCTTTCTTTTTTTTTTAAAAAAAAAAAAAGGGAGTCAAGTAAATAAGCCTTCTCTCACACACAAAAGGTCACTCGTAAGACAGAACACACCCTTACTGCTGCTTTCTGCCCGGAAGACAACCTACTCCTAATAGTTTTAACGCCACGGTCACAAAACTCTCACACAGGGGAGAAAAGGGGGTTTGGCGAACCCGCCGCCATTGGAACGTGGGGAAATTCCGGATCGTGACGTTGCGCCGGCGCAAAACTCTATCAGTCAATTTTGCCTGTAAGGGAGCAAGCAAGTAATGCTAGTGTCGCCTTTCAATCCCGCGCACGTTGGTTTCCAAAACGTCAAACACATCGCGAAACCTTGAAAAAAATAAATAGATGAAGCAGCTACTGCAGTGCCCGTCAGTGTCAGTGCCAAGGCCTGCGTCTGACAGGACCCGGCTTGCTGGCTTGGAAAACCGCTGCGCACCGTCATCATCGTGTCATTGTGAATGTTCCAATTCGGACGCCAGCAGCGCCCTGGCTAAGCGCCCATGTTTGTCGCCCTTGTCTCCAACCAGCCCGCACGCCCCTTGCGCAACGGCGAGGCTTGGTGGTGGTGGTACTGCTAGTAGCAGTTAGCACTCCGTATTATGTACCAGACTCCTTAAGTTACTCCGTATGTTGGCCAGTATGAAGTACATCCGTCCATGTGTCGCCATCTCTTCCTGCAGAGTTTGTAGTATTCCATCGTCCTTTTCCCCACTTGCCTTGCTGGTCATGAAGGGCGTTTTGGAGCAGCCAAACAACCAAGATCGCGTAGCTGGAGACTTTTGGGGTGACCAGAACAGACCATGGCCCGAGCCTCTTGGCAGAAGACTTCCCGTTTGCGTCCGCTGGTGATGTGACGAGACCTAGAGCTTGTTCATGCGGGGGTACACAACAATACAATAGCCAAGGCTGTCTTGTCGAAAGGCCAAGAACTGGTACGCTAAAATTGGCATGTCAAACGTCAACACCGAGCGATCAGTGGACAGTTTGTGTAAAGCAACTTCTATTATGAAGTCTTGGTAGTAGTAATCTACATGTCCCCGTTCTCCCAACGTTCCGGTCATTACTCTTCCTCACATCCCAAGGCATACAATCCAAAAAAACCACTGTCATCGCATATGTGAGGGTATCAGCGATGACTTGTTCCTGGCAAACAAAGAAAAATAGCTATGAAAAAAAAAAAAAAAAAAAAAAAAAAAAACGAGCCCCCTGTATCCAAGCAATGCCCTCTATAGTAGAAACGACAAATGCTGATGGGTAACCCCCTACAAAGTCTCCCCGAAATGAGCTGTATGCAGGTGTAGCAGAACGCAATCTTTGCCCAAGGCCAAGGAACATAACCGATTAAATAATAATATAGTATACATGGGGTGATTGTGAGCCGAGACCGGACTGCGAAATGATGAAGATAAGACGAAGTATTTCCGCTTGAGCCAGCCCAAGACAATAAACGATTTGTTTGACGTGGCCGAAGGCCCATTGTGCGGCCATGGATGTGGAGTTGGTGCACCGAGGGCATACAGCGTGTTTGACGATGCCCTCCCGATAT